CATGACCTGAGCTGAAGGCAGTCGCTTAACCAACTGAGCCATGCCCCTTGAAGGCACTTTAAACATTAAGGCAATTGGGAGTTATTTCAAAAAATGTGGTTATGTGCACATCAAAGAATGCTATTCAGCCAGAAGTAATAACAGGTCTCACCTTTATAGATAGGGATAGATTTCCAAAGGAAAATAATAAATAGAACAAGATGTACCACACAGGGTCGTTTATGCAGATTAAAGACATACACAAGCCGTCTAGTTTTCAAGAGCACACATAGATAGAAATAAACATAAGAATGGCGGCTGGTGAGTGGGGGTGGGGCCTTTGCTAGTCTGCTCTGCTCAGATGCTTGGAGACCTGTGCATGGCCATGGGATGGCCAGGGCACTGCAGCTGTGGGCAGCATGGCAGGGTGGCGCTGTTGGCTTAGTGAAAAATTGGGCCTGGACCCTCCATGGTAGATCCAGGTTCTGCTAAAGGCACTTCGGTGATTATTTCATAAGGGAGTCACGCAAGACTTTCAGGATGGTGTTGTTGGGAACATGGAAGGATTTTTGCGGTAAGGCGGGACCTCACCCTGGGCAGGCAGAGTTCCATGCCCTTTGAGGAGCTAGCACAGATGTGAAGCTTACCCCCAACCCCCCTTTCAGTGTATCACAGTAAAATATTGCTTTTCTAAGATGTGTATGTGTCAGAGTGCTCATTTTGTTAAAACCTGCAGCCTTTGCAGAAGGATACTTAGAAAATACTCTAGACCAGGAGGAAAGTGGGTTTAGGATCGGATTAGGGGAAAATAGAAGATGGGCTTTGCATAGACTGATAGGAGTATCCCATAAACCAGGAAATGTCATCAGTTTAATTCGGTGCACCTACATACTTAAAAATTAAAATTCTGCCATCAAGATAATGGGCCAGTGCAATTGTACAGAGCGTGTCCGACATCCCGTTGAACGACGCTGCTCTCTAACTAGTTACCAAGAGAAAGGCTGGTAAGGTACACCCTGCAAGCCCACTGTGTCAGTATTTAAGGATTAATCCGTTCAGTCTCTTTCCATCAAGATCTGATCAGAAAGAAAGATAGAAACCAGTTCTAAGTTGTGTGTGTGTTTTTTTTTAAACAGGATGACCAGCCCAGTCAGCTGTCTAAGTAGATGTTGGGGGACAGGAGAAACAAAAAGGAGCACAAAGACAGTAATGGCGGGAAGCAGCTACTGCCCCTGGGACTGGGGTGCTGGGAGGGGTCGGGGCACAGAGCAGGGCTTGAAGCTGTGAGAATCTAGAAGCTCAGCCAAGAGACCCCCCGCAAAACTGCAGCCCATCCTCTCTGCGCAGCTGCTACTGGTTCCTTTGAGGGCATGACAAGGCTGGTTAGGGGAATTTAGATAAAAAGCTGGCATCAACTTGCCACTGGAAGGATGAAGCAGCATCACCGAGGACTTGTGTAGGGGACAGCAACCCAATAGGAAGGAGTGGTCTTTCCTTCCTCCTGCCTCCTAGCCTCCCTCCAGTGTTTCAGCAGAGCCCAGCCAACTGGCAAAGGAGAAATGTGGTTTGCAGAGTGCTCTCTGGCATCACAGAGTTGGCTGTCGAAGGCTGGGGTAGTAGCTCAGAGACAAGAGCTTAAATACTGGCATGCGGGCCAAACTAAATTTATGCCAAATAGGTCATTTAAATTCAGGGGAAAATTGTAATGTTGTTGTGCTTAATATTATTCTGCCAACCCCAACTAGTATAGTGAAATTAATTTGTGGTGCTAATAACCCAGAGTTAGCTCAGGCCCCGCAAGCTAAAGGGAGTGGTCTATAACAAGACTGCTCTCCCTTTAGATCAACTGGCTGCAAATCCTGGGGGCTACCTACAACCCCCCTCAGATTTTGTAATTCACTCGAATGTTTCATAGAGTTCAGGAAAGCACTGCACTTACTGTAAAGGATACAATTCAGGAACAGCTGGTGATGACACACATGGAGTAAAGTCTGGAGGTCTCCCAAATGCAGAGTTTGTATGCCCTCTCCTCATGGAATCAGGCCTTGTCACCCTCGCCAGTATTAGTTTGTTCACCATCCAAGAAGCAGCACTGACTTGTGTCCAGAGTTTCTACTGGGGTCTCATTACATAGGTATTACTGATTTAATCACTGGCTACATCATTAAATGTAGTCCCCAGCCTCCCAACCGTCCCTGGAGGTGGGCCTAACTGACAGTCCCGAACCTCTAGTCACATGGTTGGTTTTTCTGGGGACTAGCCCCCATCCTGAGTCATCTCATCTCTTAGCACAAGCTCAGGTGTGATCCCAAGGGGCTCATGAATAACAAAGACAGCCCTGCTGGGAAGTTCCAAGGATTCGGAGCCTCTCTCCAGGACCAGGGATGAAAACCAGTTAAATTTTTTATTATACAACATCTTACAAAACAAGAGAATAAGATATGCCCAAATGCATTTGGCAAAACAAGTTCTCATTCCAAGTTTTAGAAGCATAAAAGAGAATAGGAAATTACTGCTAAAAAAGCCTTGAAAAGCCATTTGCCAATGCTAATAAGGTAGTTTGGTACATTAATAAGTGAGTTTTTTCCCAAAGCTTGCTCGTAATTAGAGCTTAGAAACCCATTCTTCTAGAGATGATCTTACCCAACGGTTATTAGTTCTCAGTCCAGTTTACAAAACTTAATAGTAATCCCATAGTAATAATAACTGGCATTTATTGAGATGGAAATCTGCTATATGCCAAAGTATTATTCTAGATGCTAGGAAGTGGTAAGGATAACAGAAGATGGGGAAATCGAGACGCAACATTATGAGAAACTGTCTTTTTCAGTTACCCATAGAATTTTTTCTTTTTTTTTTTAAAGATTTTATTTATTTATTTGACAGAGAGACAGGGAGAGAGGGAACACAAGCAGGGGGAGTGGCAGAGGGAGAAGCAGGCTTCCAGCTGAGCAGAGAGCCCAATGCAGGGCTCCATCCCAGGACCCTGGGATCATGACCTGAGCCGAAGGCAGATGCTTAACAACTGAGCCACCCAGATGCCCCATCTATAGAATTTTTTCAAAAAAATATTTATTTGAAAGAGAGAGACTGTGTGAGCAGGAGGGGCAGAGGGAGAGAAAGAATCTCAAGCAAGCTCCCAGCTAAGCACAGAGCCCAAGGCGGGGACCCTGAGATCATGACCTGAGTTGAAACCCAAGAGTCACACTCAACTGCCTGAGCCACCCAGGCACCCCGGTTACCTATAGAATTTTTAAAACATAAGTAGTCATTGCATTCCTGGATAAATGTTCTGAGAAAAAAATAGCCTCAACATTGTAGTAAGAATAAGAACATATATGAAGATGCTTAACATAGTTCGTACCATTAAGCAGTTGCTCAGTACATGTTAAGAGAAAAAAAAATTCGTCCAAGGCTGGACTCAGTCTAGAGTACCAAAGTAGACTGAGGACTCAGCATAAAATATGCATAAAAATAGAAAAAATAATACACTTGGTCCAATTACTTAAAGATGGTAAAAAGCTACTAGGACTGTATTTTAGCAGGTGATCAAGATCTAGGGTAATAGAAATGAACTGTCCAAAGTGTGCAGATGTGTGCCAGGAAAGTATAGCCTAGTGGCTTTTTTAAAAGTATAATCTGCTGTGATGTGAGAAACAAAGGCAAAAGAAAAATCAAGTTTCCTTACTACTTATAGCCCATTGACAAGTCCTTGAAATAGGCAGAGTGACATTCCTCTAGGAACTCAGCTGCCTCGATGTTAGTACTTTGCTAAGGGCCTGACCCCCAGGATCCTGTAAGTCTACTTTGACATATAAAAGTTCCTTTGGAAACTTCCTTTATCTCTACCCACCACGATATATGTTGGCAATCATCCCCCAAGCATATGACCCACTGATAATACATCTGAAGGGTCTCATGACTGAGTTTTTACTAAACAGTAATAAATGACCTTTTCCTAACAATAGCTGGCCCCCTCAAGGTCCTGGAAACCTTGTTTCCAAAATACCTGGGAGGCTTGTGCTTTCCCTAACCCCCTCCCAACTTGAAAGGACATAATGGGCCACTCCTCACGACGGAGTGCAGCTCCTTCTGCCCACGGGTCCTGTCCCCGTGCTTTCATAAAATCACATTTTTGCACCAAAGACGTCTCAAGAATTCTTTCTTGGCCATTGGCTCCAGACCCCAACATCTTTCCTACATCATAATGGAACAAAGTAAACAAAGCCTCAAGTTTACGTTTATTTACATGGCCTAATATCTGTGGGTGATTTTATTTATTCATTTGACAATCATGTAGTCAGCGTCCAGTGCCGAGCACGATGCTGGACAGAGAACCCAAGATGACCCACACGTGGTTCCCGTGTGCATGGAGTTAACAGCCAAGGGGAAAAATCTTTGCTGTCACAAACTGGAAGCATAGTGCAGGCCTACCCTTCAGCGTGTGGTTGAATGCATTAGGATGTGAAGTGATCTTACAAGAAAGATACTCAGGTGTTAAAAAGGATTGTGTTTGAAGAATTTAGTGAGCTAGGGAAATGTCCTGTACAGCTTAATAACAAATGGAAGTTCAGAGAAAGGGGAAAATCCTATTATCATGTATAGGTACACATGGAAAACCTCTACTATCACATATACAAATATTTCATTGTTGATTTTTTTTTCCCCCTCTTAAAGCATGGGTATTGTATGAAAATTGTGATGTTCACACTCCTAGGGATGGTGGTGGGCCCGTGGTCGTGTGAAATTACGCCACCTCTCTGCCTCAGGTTCCCTGCCAGTAAAAGGATGGAAAGGCCACGTAATTCTCAGTTCACATGTAAGACTGGCTCAAAGATGTGTGCCCTACACCCTCCCCTCATGAAGAGGGTGATTAGGCTTACACAAAGCCCTCTTCTGAGGCCCTAAACATTTCTAGACAACGTGTGGTAGAAAATAGTCAACGTATTAGAAAGAAAAATTTCTCCTTGGAAAAAAGCTGTTGCTGGATTTTCTAACCATTGTTTATTCTCACTGTCTAGGTTACCCTTTCCCTACTGCTCCTCCTGTGGATCCATTTGCCAAAATCAAAGTGGATGACTGTGGAAAAACTAAGGGATGCTTTAGGTTGGTGGATCTGCGAGTTGGTTAACTTTAAGGCTAAGGCACTGATTTACTTCTCAAGGTAGTATTTCAATCGCGTATAGCTCATTCTAATCAGGGGCCTGCATCCCCTCATTGCTTCAGCCTGTTTCCGATGGCCACTCCAGTTTTCAGTCTTAGAGGCCGTAAGCTCTCGAATGCTCCTTGGCACTGGAACATCCTTCTCTGGTTTTTCATTTATGACCATACTGCCATTGGCCCAGGTATCTACTCCTGCCCAGTTGGCTGTATGAAAAAGAATCAGGTGACATGGGCTGTGCATTACTAGCTGGGCTGTGAGCGGGACAGACCATGATTGACACATTTAAGACCCAATTCCTTTTCAAATAAAGAGTCATGACTTTGGGGTATCTGGATGATACTAACTAGTCGTGAACACTGATGATTGTAGCGAGCTTGTTATCTCAGATTTAGGGAGTCCCCACGTGATTACTCGTCGTGCTCTATCAAAACATGATGGGCTGGAGCTAGCAAACACTGGTAAAGACGGTGAGCCTCCCAGCCAGACAGCTCCGCTTTGTTGGAAAAGCCGCCTCCTCTTTGAAACTGTTATTTCCTAAAATAAATTGTCCTTGAGTAAAGGTTGTGATGGGTACTGCACTGAAAGTTCTGGATGTTTTTTTTCTTTTGTTCAGTGCTCAAGGCCAAGGAGGAAAAAAATCGAATAAAGGGGTTTTGAGTTTTCTTTGGATTACAAGGGTATTTCTAAGGAATTTAAAAAATATATATTTTATTTATTTGAGAGAGAGAGAGAGAATGAGAGAGAGCACAAGCAGGGGGCAGGGGCAGAGGGAGAAGCAGGCTCCCCACTGAGCAGGGAGCCCGATGTGGGACTTGATCCCAGGACCCAGGATCCCAGGACCTGAGCTGAAAGCAGACACTTAACCAGGCGCCCCTCTTAGGAATTTTTAAGAATCCAAATAATACTATTATTGAGGAAGATGGCCAGCAATGTTAAGTCTGGTGACTGGGGGACATTTTTGAGAAGGGAGGGAATTTCAGTAGCTGCTGGCTTCAGGGTGACTTGTTTTCTGGCCCATTCGTTCCTCCTTTAGCTTTCCTTACACTCATTTAGCGTTTTTACCCGGTTCTACACTGTCCTGAGCTCACATCTCTTCCCAGCCATTCAGGGTCCCTGCCTGGCATGTTCCTTGCCTCCCTCTTCAGTCAGTGCTTGGCAGCTTTGTGCCCTGTTCCTTCAGATAACCTTGCACCTGAGCTTCCCTTGTCCCACCCATTGCTACAGTTTTCTGTTCTTCTGAAAATGGCATAAAACAATGTCCCTTTCACTAGGGCTTCCCGATTCTTAAAGGATCCACAAGTCCCCTGGAAGAAAATTTAAATTTGAGTTTCCATTTCAATCATGCCCCTTACAATGATGAATGTATGCATAATCGGATTATCTGGATAACCAGTTTATGCTGCTCGGTACTCTGGCGTCCTGATTGGTAATTGTGTGATAGCCTGATAGAGCCAAGGCAGATTTTATAAATAAATGATGCATTCATGCTCAGTGAATACCAGATGAGGTATTCATTTGATGTATGTATGAGGGTTTTGCAACCTTTCAAACAGATAAGAGTGGGGGAAAGTGAAATCGTGTTTAGTAGTAAGAAAGTGCTCATCCAAGGGACCCTGCACAGTGTGGTCCGATATACCCCATGCAGGTAAGCAAAATCTACCTTCAGTAAGATTACACCATCCATCACACGGATGCTGAGAATTTAAATGTTCCTGCGTTTGTAGTTTAATTTATATTTAATTTGTAAGTTTTTGTTAATTTAGTTATATGAAAATTTCTAAGTAAAAAAGAACTGGTATATATTTAATTCACAAAAACAGTTTATTAACTCTGAGAATTTCTTCCTCTGAAAGGGATTCAGAAATAACTCAGTAATAACGACTATCTGAGAAGCTCTAATATAATGTTGAGAACACTGGCCGGGAGTGGAGGCCCAGGTTCAAGTCCTCCAGCAGCTACTGACTCACTATGCAAGCAAGCCCCTTCCCATCTCTGGTCCTCAGGTTGTATGTAGATAGAAAGGAGCAGATCTTTTCCAAGATCTCTCCCAAGTGAAACTGTGGTTTTTCAGATCCCTGGTAGCAAAGATCTCATTTACTTGGTAATCTTGCTTCGCTCTGCCTGATACTCTGTTGCCTTCTTAATGTGTTGTGAGTAAGGAGATGAAGCAGCAGTGCTGTGTTTTGATCTCTCCTGCAGATACGGCAAGCCAGGCTGTAATGCGGAGACGTGTGACTACTTCCTTAGCTACCGGATGATCGGGGCCGATGTGGAATTTGAGCTGAGCGCTGACACAGATGGCTGGGTAGCAGTTGGATTCTCTTCAGACAAGAAAATGGTAAGATGCAAATCATGATAAAAGATGATTTTTTTCTTCTTTAGTTTGCTGTGCTGCTTTAGATTTTGGAAAATGGGCATGGTTTCTCCAAGCCACCATGCCACTATTAAATGTGTGGATTTCTAGCAATTGATTTTCTTTTTCAAAGCAAGGGAAACAAATTGATAAAAGCAGTATAACAATTACATTAGTTACGGCTCTCTGATTGCAAGTGAAAAAAAATTCAAGCTAGCTTAAACAGAAAAGGAAGGGCTGGTTATGGGAATATGAGGTATCTCGTGGTACCTGCATTTATTAGTTATTATGGCAGTGATGCTGCAAGAAAAGCCTCCAAACCACATGGCTTATTAGCATTTATTTCTTGTTCACGTGTGTGTGAATTGGCTAGGGTTCAGCTGGGCTTGGCTCCAGCCCATGAGTTGGATTCAGGTTTTCTCTAATCATTCTGGAACCAGCAGCTACCAAGGCATGTGGTTTTCATGGCAGAGACAGAAGGGCAAGAGCCCTCCAAGCCTATTTCAAACCTCTGCTCTCGTCCCACCTGCTAACATTTCATTGCCCAAAGTAAGTCACACAGCCAGGCCCAGTATGAAGGGATAGGGAAGTTCACTCCCCTGCCCGAGAGGCCCTGTGAAGGGGCGGCTGTGTACTAGTACTACTGGGGAATGAAGAATCAAGTCCAACAACTCAGTCTCCCACAGTACGCGTGGGCAAGAACGCCGCTGGACCTCAGAAAGACCAGAGACAAGGAGCAGGACCAGGCAGGGCATGCAGATCCTGGAGTCCCGGGATCGAGTCCCGCATCGGGCTCCCTGCTTCGCAGGGAGTCTGCTTCTCCCTCTGACCCTCCCCCTTCTCATGCTCTCTCTATCTCATTCTCTCTCTCAAATAAATAAATAAAATCTTTAAAAAAAAAAAAAAAAGAAAGACCAGAGACAAGGAGCAGGACCAGGCAGGGCATGCAGATCCCAGGCAGCGATCGTCACTTACCTCTGCTTCTCTCTGTGCCTCTGCTGTCTTCTTCCCTCTTCCCTCTGTGATACCATCATTTGCCACCTCACTGTGCCAGGGTGCTTCCAGAGCCAGACTTCCTTGGGCCCCTGTACCTTTGCACAGGCTGCTGCTCTGCCTTCTTCTTCTTTTCCCCTGCCCTGTCTTGAGGCTCCTGCAATGAGCGGAGGCCAGCTCAGATAGGCTTACCGCAGTGGGAGTGGTGAGAAGTGCTCCCATTTGGGATATGCTTTGAAGTAGCTCTGACAGCATTCGCTAGTGGATTGGAGAGAGGTTGTCGGTGGATGTTAAATAGAGACTGGGGGATCAGGCTAAGCAGTCAAAACCCCGGGGGCTTTGTTCTTGGAAGGGCACCAGAAGGATGAGCTTCTACCAAAGCCAGTCCAGGCAATAAGACAATGGGCCTAACTGGTAAGATTGCATGGATATGAATCTGCATGTCTTGTCTCCTACTTTAGGGTCAGTAAGAGAGAAACAGCAGGTGTGTACCATCCCGGAAGCTGGCTTGCAATGCGATTGACTGTTTCCTGTCCTAGAATGCGTTTGCCCTCATGGTGCAGCTGTTAAGATTAGGGCGCTCAGAGGAGGGAGGTTGAGTAACGGCATTCAAATTTTATGTGTGACTTTTTTTTAAAAGCTCTATTTATTTATTTTAGAGAGCATGAGCAGGGGAGGGGCGAGGGAGAGAGAGAATCCTCCAGCAGACTCCCTGCCGAGCACGGAGGCTGACGCAGGGGCTCGATCCCAGGACCCTGAGATCATGACCTCAGCTAAAACCATGAGTCAGACACTTAACCGACTGTGCCACCTGGGTGCCCCTGTGTTTGACATTTTGCTCTCTGAAGGCCTTTAACAGATAAGTCTCTCTTTTCTTCTCCTATTGTTCCAAGGAGAAGCATAGCTGAAAATTTTTTCAAAATTTGATGTAAAGGAAAAGCAAAATGGAACCCCTTTTTAATAGCCTTAAACTTTTTTTTTGAAATGGTACGTTATTGTTTTTTTTTTTAAATAAGACTTGATTTTTAGAGCAGTTTTAGGTTCACAACAAAATTGAATACAGGGCTCAGAAAATTTTCATATACTCCCTGCCTGCACACATGCATAACCTATCCCATTATCAGCATCCCCCACAGAGTGGTACATTTGTTATGGTTGATGAACACCTTTAACTTTGGGGACCTGGGTTTTTTTTTTGTTGTTGTTTTTTAAGATTTTATTTTTAAGTAATCTCTACATCCAGAGTGGGGCTTGAAACTGCAACCCTGAGATCAAGAGTCTCATGCTCCACCGACTAAGTCAGCCAGGTGCCCCATTTTTTGGACTTGTTTTTACTTATATGTACAGGGGGCACCTGGTGGCTCAGTCGGGTAAGCGTCTGCCTTCGGCTCAGGTCATGATCCCAGGGTCCTGGGATCGAGCCCCGTGTCAGGCTCCCTGCTCCATGGGAGGGTCTGCTTCTCCCTCTCCCTCTGCCGTTCCCCCTTGCTCATGCTTTCTCTCTGTCTCTCTCAAAAAATAAATAAAATCTTTAAAAAAATTAAATGTAAAATGTACAGTCTGCAAGGATAGTGCAATACATATTCTTCACCCAGATTCACCGAACAACTTTCTTTTTATTGTGGTAAAATGTACATGACGTAAAATCTACCATCTTAACCATTTAAAAATGTACACTTCAGTGGCGTTAATCATGTTCATGGGGCACCCATCACCACTGTCTACTTCCAGAAATTTTTTTTTAACAAGTGATGACATTTTGCCACACATGCTTTAGCTCTCTCCCCTGCTGTTGCTGCTGCTATTTTCATCATTTTCTGGAAACTTTGGAGATTCAACCTATTTGTTAAAGTCGGGAAGTTTAACATTAACATGATAGTATGGTCAAACATAGTGCCCATTTTCCAGTGTTGCCCATTGTCCTGATACTACCCTTCATAGAAATTCTTATTTTAGGACTTAGGATTCTGTCTAGGAACACTATTAGTTGTCATGAATCCTTAGTCTTCTTTATTTTGTTTTTTGTTTGTTTGTTTGTTTTTTAAATTTTTTTTTAAAGATTTTTATTTATTTATTTGAGACAGAGAGAATGAGAGAGAGAGAGAGAGCACATGAGAGGGGGGAGGGTCAGAGGCAGAAGCA